AATGAACAGAGGATAATACTGTGTACAACCACTGTTAACGAGCCAATTCATCCACGTACATGAAATCATGATATGATTGACAGATGAGATGCCTACATCTAAGCGGATCCACAGAGTTACTAACGTCACTGAGCACCATCTGTAATGATTCACGTGACTGGATCGATAAAAAACAAAGCTATCCAGAAACCCGATTTGTCATATGCAGCGGAGATCAGCAGTTTAGATCACGGGTAAGATAATTAAAAATAAATAAAAACTAAATGTTAATTCCTTTACTGCTGCCTGGAATAATATAGAAAACGGGAAGAGGCGGCTGTGGTGGGGTTCGGACTTAGCACCTACAGGTGGCCACTTTGATGAATTCACCACCCGACTGCGTAAACCAGTATCGCGATACATATTGTTGGGTTCATAAGATTCTAGAAACTAGATGGTTAATCACAGCGTGTACAGGACAGTGGAGGCCGAGTGATTCAATTCACTGTCACTGGTTCATAAAGTCAGGGCCAGCTAACAGTGAAACACTGCTCTATGCCACGACTATTTCCGTCAGGTCGTACATAGTTCAGTATCCAAGCCCAAGAACAAGATTTCAGCTTGCAGGATCAAGGGATTCATATTTATACATTTCTGACGATAAAGTGGGTAGCAGCATAGTAGGTGCAAAATCGCTTGAAAAAAGGATTTTCGATAAAGAATATAAATATGATCGCAGCAGCATTTTCCGATGTGGAGCTTGTCGATTCAAATCTCCCACCACTTTCACTCGCCCGGGAGACCCGCACACAAGCACACCACTATCCTTGTCGAACGGCAATATTCATTTTTCTGGAACCTCAGAATTTCAAAAGAAAAGACCATTTTGCAATACTGCAGGACAATTTAGATGCATCTCAACATAGTATGTACTGCAAAAAATGCTATGTTCATATAGGGCTTTGTCTGTTTTATTGTATTTTACTTTACTTTTTTGCCATGCTAAAGCCCTATATAAACACTGCTTTTTCTGCAGTATGCACTATGTTGAGATGCAGCAAAATCGTCCCGGACATAAATCGTGCAATACTGCAATACGGTCCTTTCTTTTGAAATTAATCTCGGGAAAGGCTTGCTTCAGTAACCTCAGAACTATGGGGCATTCTCAGTACCTAGTGTAAAGTAGTTTTGATTATATAAACAACGATACTGCTGCTGCTATTACTAATACTACTAATTCAACTATATCAATTGTTTAACATTCTGAGTTGCAACGAATTCCGATGTCATAGCATACACCCGGTACCAGCGAATATCACATACAGGGAAAAATTTCTAGGAGCAGCTTATCCCCATGTTGTTCACTTCCTTCGGACAATGCCAACAAAGTGCATTTTAAATTCACACACTGCTGATTGGTACAAATCCCATTTTTAACGGAGTTTTCATTCAGTTTTTACAACCATTAACCACGCACTTTCGTGCACCGGTTTTTGCGGTTGTCTTTTGAGGCCCCATTTGGATAAAAGAGCAGGATGAAAATTGGAATGTCGACGCAAATTCAAGCGGAAGATTTATATAGAGTAGTGTTGGGAGAATAATGAGTGGATGCATGAGCGCCACTGTTTGCAACATCCAGCCATATTACTCAGTGTTTCTAACCATCAGTGATCATCATCCCAAGGTCCCCAGCCAGGGAGCCTAACAGGGCCTATGTAACCTAGTTTACCGGTTAGGGTTTTGCATACCCTCATGCCAGGTCTTCAGTTGACCACCCCTGACCTTTTTCCAACCACTACCTGTCTCAGCAAACCGCTCGCCTATTTGGTGACATGCGTAACACATGCCCCAACCAATGGAATCCATAGAGGTCGATCACTTGTTCCAGTGGACGACCGCGACTGCCTAAAACTCTACGCCTAACCTCAGCATTGCTCGTCCGGTTACCCCACCAGACTTGAGCAATGCGATGTAGACAGCGGTGTTCGAACACCGACAATCTATTATTACTCTGTTCCCGTATTGGTCAAGTCCCCGCACCGTAGAGCAGAACTGGCCGAACTACTGCAGCACATATTCGACCCTTCATTAGTGAGGTTGATCTGCGTTTGGCCTCCTTATTGAAAACTCAGGAGTCTACAGACTGTGATTTCAACTGGTCAGATTCACAGAACTTGTTTTTGTTTCCCAAATCCAGTACGTTTTGTCAGTTTTAGAACGGATACGTCACATTGGACACCCACAGTACGTTAAACGTGTTAAGTCTACGTCGAATTTCGACGCAGAACACTGTAGCCATATTTAAATTGTGATGCCCCATATCGGGACAGGTTAGTTTATCCTGACGATTTAGGTCACTCGTGAGGTCGCCACAAATAAGGTTGTCCTGAGGGAACATGGTATGTGCGCGTCATTTGGCGAACTAGGTGATCAGGGTGACAGTTGTGTAATCTGAATGTTATTTTTCACAGAGCATGACGATGGAAATGTTTGTGATATGCTGCATCGTTATGATTGCAACAACAACGGTGAACACAGTACACTGAGCGAGGATATGTGAATCGTGAGTTGAAATGTCAACTCACAAGGCCTATATGATGCGAGCACGCTAGGGTAAGTGGATCATGAGTAAAGGGGGAGGGAGTCTGTACATATGTATGCATATGTGAGCTCAAGTCTACCTATGATAACCATATAATGACAACTGTTTACGTGCGTACCACCTTACTAAAATGTTTGAAATGGCATCCATTCGGAGGGAACAGAGAAGGTACAAAGGTCAACGTGGTGCCATCAGTAGAGCTAACTTGAACGGAAACATGAAGGTGGAAACGTGGTGATGATGATTTTCGAGAACAGTTCATCTCCAAATATGTGCAGAACTCTGTGGTGAAAAGACATCGGTTATCTCAATAGACGGAGATAGTTGTGCACTTATCATTCTATACCCACCTCTAGATTGTAAACGACAAAAATGTTATACCTCAGAGTAGCATCAACATAGTATCCATTTTGGAATCCTGCTCCGTTTCATCTAATAATGAGAACTGTTGGAAACATAAACATTTCGTTCTAGCATGCACGGGAAATACGCCGCCCCTTGAATACGTGCACCACTCAAACATGAGTACGAATGGAATGATCATGCTGAAGATTGGTCAGAATAGGACATAAATGAATGCAGACTACTACGGTAAGATAAAAAATCTGTAGGTAAGAACGAGTTGATTTTAGACTTGAATCTGATTGGTTCCTGTATACTCCAGTCGACACTAGGGTCTTTTTAATATTAATCTACTATCGCAAATTGCATACATCAACACACATGGAGAACTAGCGAAATCCCAAAGGGCGCGATCAACACTATGAAATCCAAGGCAGACTTCGGTGGCTGTATAATCACACGAACTACACAAACAGTTCCGAATTACTGATGCGCTCAACGTGGTGGCCGCTGAATATGTAACTCAGGGATAATGGCTACGGTCCCATACCCGACGATTCGCGATTCGGATAACCGTAGAAATACAAAAAATAGTGTGCACTGCTGAAGAGTCTCAACTGGACAAATGTACGGTTTTCTTTGTCAACCGCTACATAAAATCTTTCACCACAAATAAATTAAAATTTTGAGTTGAAATAGCTGCAATTTGTTCAGTTTAACGATGGTAAAACGAACAGTTTTCTGTGGAAGGTACTCACTAAGTTGCAACTAGCAACGCTCGTTCAATTAAAAGCCGATTGGATGGAGAAGATAACATTCAGAACGACAGGTCTCGAAGAGTGTCAAAAGAATTGCTGATCAGGGTAATGCACATCACGAAAACCTGTCGCTTGCAGCATATTCCGTTTACATTTTCTAATCCAATCTGAGTAAAGCCACCAGTAAGTCAATGGATGGCATTTCAAATCACGAGTGGTATGGTGATTAAAACGATTCGCTTACCTCCCGAGCTTCTACACCTGTATTGAATAATGCATATTACAATGGGTGAAACAGTCCCGCGGCTGAGATCAATACAAAAGGAGGACAGTGATACATATCCATTTAGCTGGATTAGGAGCTACGGTCTTCCCGAGGTGGATAAGAACGACTATGACAGTCCGATTGCAGAAACTATTTTGCTGTCATTTTGTAGCAAGTCAAACTGGCCTAAAAGATGCGTATGTGCCGTGTGCGGACCATGGGTTTATTAGCCTTGTTTTTTTTTCTTTTTATTCTTCGGGTGAGTAGCTTTCTAACGCACTTGATGTATTTCCATTTACGTTGTGCATATTTTTCTTATTTTGACCACGAAATACTAGGATTCGCATGTGAAAAGATCAGTGCCATTGACGCGGCTTCGTAGATAACTCGATCGAGTGTGCAGTGTACAAAAGCGTAGGTACTCGTGGANGTACTCGTGGATTGAAATTCCACCGAGGCTACTCAACTTTTTCCTATTCAAACAGAAGTTCATTTCCTTGCATTCAGCTGCAAGAAGGTGATGCCAATTGTCATATGGGACTTAGATTATTAAAACGGGTCATGAGCAGATACAACGGTTTTGTATCCTAACCTAGTGAGCTAAACTGCTTTTTTTATTACACACTTTTCGTGTGATGAACAGCAGACGGGGCGAACCCCATCGTCACCAAGACCTGCTGTTCAGTGATGGAAACCGGTAACCTAAGCCCCGGGATTTGGAGTGGTGAAGCACATAAGGCCCCGATAGGTTAGGCGTCGTATTGAACCGGACGACAGCAAGGTTGCCTACCACCAAAGTTGGGTGGCGGTGGCGGGGCTCGAACCTTGGACCATAGGGTTCCGTGGCAGCGACTGAACCACTGCGCCACTACCGCTGACTCTTGAGAATCGACCTACAAAAGCGTTGGGGGTGGGGTGGAGCTCGGATGTTTTATTCTACTGGAGTGATCACAAACGGAACTGAGTAGCTCTGTGATGTAATGATGTAATGATGTAGTGACCGTACAACTTAAACGAGCATTCTGCTGCACAAAGATGGCCAAGAGTGACTCCATCAAAAGATAAAAATAGTGATCTCGTGAAAATTCTGGGGCATATCCCCGGAATTTGCATCCACACTTACTTCTTCCAACTCCAGTCGTGTTTGTTCCTCTAAACGACGAATATCCTCGATGGTCATACCGACCCAACGATCGATCCAACAGAAAACTTGACGATGAAAGTTTGCAAACAGTCGACGCTCTTGCTACATGATCAAAAGAAGAAAGAGCAGGGGTGAAACAGACTGAATGAAGTGAAATCAGTGTGTGCGTGTGGGTGTGTATGAGAGAGAAAGAGACCGATCACAAGCTAACAAACTTTCGTATCGGTTTCACAAATGAATCTTCCTAGAACAGATGTCCGAACAACCTGGTACGCTGTCGATGGAAAAGCCGAGGAGTGATTTCGTTGGTACAAGAGATGTCTCACCATGAGTTATTCAACACACTGTTTGAAACCAAATAAGTACGAAATACATTGTTATACATTTCGATTTCACACCAGGTTGTACGGAACGGTCTGTAAAACAGTACACATTTAGTATCCACAAATCGAGTGCACGCGATATGAAAATTAATGCACACAATCTGACCAAACAACTGTTTTCGAGTATATATACGAGGTTGAGTGTTTTTCAAAAGTGATGGTTCCGTCGGAACGGTATTTCTGTCTGAATCAAAAACAATCAACAACCAGACGAAGAACAATCACACAAAACGTGCCTGTCCCATAAGACCGAGATACGACAAACAATCCAACATCGTTTACGAAGCATAGAAACACAGTGTCTAACTAATGATAATATTATTCACTGATTCGTACATATTTCTACTGATATTGGTCCCACAAACCGACACACAGTGGTGAGGAGCAACGCAACATAGGATTTTTATCTTGTTCCCTTTGAATATGCTAGGCGACTGACCAGGATATGATGAATCTGATCAGAACACACTCCCTAGACAAACAGATACACGGGAATGAGATTATACTCACGAAACGTAGTATACGTACAAATCAATGAAAGTTAGCGACGAATGAGAAACCCAAAGCGCGAAGGTTATATGCGAACCAGATAAACACACGCACGCACACACATACTCGAAAAATGCACACAGACAAAATGAACATGTGAATAAGCGTTGTACGAAGATGATTTGTACTGTCACTGTAGAAAACCTTAACTGCAGCGCAACAAGCGGTCAAGGCACCGCTTGAAAACACGAATGGTGCGGGGTTGGTACATGGATACGGGTAAATAGCTAAATAAAGAATAATGCAATAAAAATAACCAACCTTCATCAACTTGAATCAATAAAATATCTTCGTATGGGAGCCATGAGGAACAACGACCGCCATGATTCTCTAGTTGATGGATGGTATTCGTTGGTATGTGATAAATCATGTGTAGGAACATAAAAGATTTACTCCTAGCTCGGTAGTGCGGAAGGCTGATAGCAACAACGGTTGTTATAGAGAGGACAGTAATAGTTCAAGCGAACTTCAATGCACTACATCAATTCACCACTGAAGGCTATTGGTGGATGGTGGGTTAGACTGAACATCACAACGACACAGAGGCAAGTGATCAATTCCAGATCATTTTGAAGGAGGCAAAATCTAGCTTCAGCTAACCAACGGCTTCCGTTGTGGATTCCTCAA